GGTCGCATTGGAGGTGGAGTGCTTCCGTCGTCAATAGGTGAGGTAGAGGTAGTATTCGGCGATCCAAAAGCAATATCAAATATATGGCATTTTCCTTCAGCATTTACACACACGATCGAATTCTATTGTGTATTATTGAGTTTTAGTTTACAAAATACTTTTGGAATACAAATAGTTAGCTGGTCGATCTCTCTTAACTGTAAGTTACCTTTCCGGAATTTCGTATATCACCGACAGCAATACAAGTGATCTAACAAAGGATTAATCAAAATCATTCTTTCTTTACATTCAATCTCAAGTCAATTTGAAATTAAACTCAATTTATCGAATTCTGAACGTAATTTACTAATGAATAATTACCTACAGTTCCTAAATTTTTACAGGTCATAACAGGTTGTCCACAGACCGAAATACCTTTGAATATGGCTAGCTCGCCTTTAAGGTTTCCAACAATAAATTCGTTATCCTTTTGATACACCACATTTGAAAATGTATATTTGCATTATTAACCATGTTTAAAGATATTACATGTCAGTGGCGACGATAGTGGCAAACTCACCTCGTCATTATCCACGTCCCCAAATGCGTACGCATGTGGTGTCATGTTCCCTTCAAAGGTCCATTTTAACCTATCTATCAAACATATAGACTTCATATTTGAATATTAAACACATTTGATATTGTTGTTTTTATTCCACAATTTCTCAGAACTTTTAAAAATCACATGACTAGATTGGGTGTTCGGCCAACTTTATTTGTGACTGACTTTGTGGTTTCCATGGCACATTAGATTAACATATAACGATAAATGGCAGAGAGAGTCGTAACCCATTTGGCAGAATGAAGATGCAAGTTTAAAAATAAACTAATAGATTCGACGTTTAATAATTCTACCTACACCAATATGTACTTTTCAAATTAATGAACAGAAAATGAATGAATAGATGGTTAAAAAGAAAAAATATGTATAATATATACTTGATGTTTCATCATGATGTTTTGTAAATCCAATTTTGAAATTTTGAAGTAAAAACGATAGCGAGTTTTATTGTGTATTGATTCCATTTATTATTTGAGGGAGGATTCATTGTAGTTATAGGAATATCTTTGCGTTATTCAATTTGAAGTAAATAATTCATGAAAATACCAAATGTATTTGAATGTTTACAAATATTACATATTACTTTGCAACAGGAGGATACATCCAAGTACATTATACGCGAAAAAGAGGATAATGAGTTTCAATAGAAAAATCTATTAGTAATTGTTTCTAAGAAGAAATAGCCGTCGAGAGACCATTCAAGGCTCTATATTTGCGAATCGTTGGAATTACATGGTAACGCCTAGGAAAACTACATTCCGTAGTGGTCAGTTTATCCTTTGGTAACGATAAAGGCCTTAGCTCTGATGATGTAGTCATCAAATTATTTTTTAGGCTGTTGACCGTGGGAAAGATGTTACTTTTTACAAAAAATGTAATATTCGCAAATTCATTGCATCATGAGAAAAAAAATCAACGATAATATAAATGGATAAATGGTGATCAAGTTCGGAATTTATTTAAATCACGCGTTATGCGTCAAAATATCTTTAAGAAAAATGCGGGCGTACTTTTACAACGAGCAAGATAATTCCGACCCACGAGAACCACACGAATTTATCCCCTCTTCCCCTGTGACCCCAGAAGAATTAGCACAAATTGGCGTGCTTTATTGGCACATACAAAATAACGAGGATCAGGAAAATGAAATTAATAGAGTTGCTAAAGAGCGGAGCTATAAGAATCGGGATACTGTATGTTGCTGAAATTTTCTCGATTCATGGATTTTTTTTCTTTACTCCGCATTTTTTATTATGTGTCTGAGAGGAAAAAATGTTTATGGTTGTTTTTCTTGGGTTGTCGATAGATTACTTGTTCGAAAGAAGGTCTTGGAGACTTATATGAAAGCAAGCTAAAGTCTTTCTTTGAAGAGTTGAGTATTTTGATATAAATAAATTATTTGATTTAGGTATGAAATTATTATATATTAATTCATACATACGTATATTCAAAAATAAAAGACATCTTCATGAGGATGAGGAAATTCGATTCATTCTTGATGGAAGCGGATACTTTGACGTTCGAGGTACTTTTTATTTATTTTTTGATTATTTCATCTTCATTTTCTCATAATTACTTAATGAATATATACAAGATCAAGGTGATCGCTGGATTCGCATTGCTGTTTCTCCTGGAGACTTGATCGTCTTGGTATTTTTTATATATATATGATTTTCGTTGTTTTTTTATATATATATATTGTGCACAGGAATTTGAATATTTCGAAAATATTTATTAGCCTGCAGGAATATATCACCGTTTCACGCTTGACACTAATGATTACATTAAGGCTTTGCGTAAGTTTACATTTCGATAGCGCCGATTGACTAATTCAATTAATAACTTTATAAATAATAACCTTTTGCTTGAAAAAATTTTAGGTCTTTTCAAAGAGGAACCGAAATGGACACCGATAAATCGTGAGAAAATTCCCAGTTTTTTTTTGACCATTTAAATCTTTTGTAGAATTTATTGACATCTGATATCTTTTAAAAATAGGCCCAGCCGATGATAATCCTCACCGAATTCATTACCTAAACTCAATTACATTACCGACAATATCATGATCTGTTTATGTTCATTGATGGATTGAAATAGTTATTTTTTGTAGTTTTAATTTATCAAGGACGCCATTTTGATGGATGATGCATTCCTAATTAATAAATAAAAATTGGCACTTTTATTGAATATGAGTCCCGTATCTGTCCATGGCCGTCACAACTTTAACGCCAGGTCTACGAAAGACTTGTTTGATCTATGGTTCAAAATTAAACATGTGTGAATGTAATGTGCTGTCAAGCAACATCTTATCACACACGCAATTTTTGTCTAACATTTATTCTGAACCAATTTAAAATATTTGAAGACAATTCGATCCACATGAACCAACTCCTCCCGATAATTGATCTGTATTGTTAATAATTGAATTCCATTAAAAATAAATAAATACTCAATCCCAAAAAGAATTTGAATTAAGATTCTATTTTTCTGGTGATAATACTTGTACTCGTAAAGAAAAGGAGGTAATAAATGATCTCGGCCTGATTAAATAAATACCTAATTGATTAAATTATCACCTAAATTATACCCAAACCAAGAAAACCGAAAGATCGGAAAAGTTTCAAAGCATCAAAGCTTTGCCAAGTGAATTTGAGCAACAATTAGAAAATTCACTTGTGTTGATAAGACGTTGATTAATTATTCCATCAATTACATGTTAAGATAAGTCGACAGCCTTCGTCATCCTCATCACCGTATCGTAGCATAAAACTCAAATTCGGGTGTTGAGAATGGAATCTCGTCATCTGAATCGTCATCGGGAAATGTAGGTCTATAAATCATAAAAGGTAAATAATTTTAACGATTTCGATTATACCGTCATGAATGCTAATGATAAAACACAAGCTGACGTAACTCACAATTTTGGAGCAAACACTTTGACCTGCCGAATATGAGTATCTTTACCGTTCTGATGATTTGACTTTATCATTACTTGGAAAAGATATGCACCGACTGGCCTACTCCTTCGACTATTATTGACAAAAGGTGACGCAATTGTTGGTAAATAAATGATACAAATAATCATTATATAACAATGAAGCGTACCTTAATGTTGAATCACCGCTAAGTTGAATATCCACCCAATTAGACGGTTCCGATAGTTCAACAGTGCGAAGATCCTATGGTCAATCGGATGGATAGAAAATTGATCTCGAAAACAAAGATATTGTGAGAGAAATCACCATAATAATGATTGATTTAATAATACCTGCAGATCACTAAATGTTGTTCCAGCCTTAATGGTAATTTTATTTGGTGTATAACTTTCATCGTTTTTGTAATCAACATACAAAGAGATTTGCTGAAGGCGAAGATTAATGATTGAATCAAATCAAAGCAATAAGAGAATTAGTCGTTACTATCTCTACTCACCGTCACATAGACTTTCTTGGGGAATTGAATATTGATAAGATGTGGTTGGGTACCATCTGATCTAAATAAACCCAATTTCGAACGTTAAAACGCGCGTGATTTTTATTGCATTTTAAAAATAAAAAAAGAAGTGACATACTGCCAATAAGTCATATTATTTTCGTCACGCAAATTTTCTACTCCATTACCTGGTTTCCAACTCGATAGTGACCAAGTAGCCATCGAACCAATTTCTCGTAACTCTAATTGAATGTAATTCTTTTATTTAGACCGCGTTTTCGCGTCATTGAATTCAATGTTCGCATACAAAGAACGAGTTCTAATTAATGCCTTCATGTTTAAAGTGACTTTTTATAAGTTTTCTTTCTCTTCGTGTAGAGAACTCGCTATCTTCGTTACCATCATCAGCGCCGCCTGCGTTATTCATGGTTCGTGGTATTCGAGTTAATGAGGAGAAATCATCCAATTTTTGGCGCAGATATCGTTTTAATCAAAGGCGGGCTAGTACCTGATATTGTACGTGCGGATGTGTCGGATAGAGTCGGATCAATGCACGTGACATTATATTTTTGGATGGGGTATTGTTAAAATTCGTTTCCACGGAACCTATATCATTTTCTTTATCAGAGTAAGTTTCAATAGTTGAAGCAGATGATTGGCGTGAGCCAGTCTCTGGCTGAGAAATTACGGGTAATTCTGAACAAGCTGAGGATGGCAAAATATCTTTTGTGGGAGATGCTTCCTGTTCGTTAGAGATAACCTGGATCCGTTTTTGTTCTAATTTGGTAATTTTGTCTTTAAGCTCAACATTTTCAGCAATAAGGATGGCAGTATCTGTTTTATTTTTCCTTTCTAGCTCTTCAAACCTGGTTTTAAGCTCAGTACTCTCTTCTATGACATGTCTTAGCTTCACGTTCTCAGCTTCGACCTCAGTATATTTTTTTCTAAGTTCACTAATTTCGGCTATGAGCTTAGAATTCTGTTCTTCTAATAAATCGATTTTAGATAAATCTCCCCTTTGGGCCTGTGTGTTTGCCATTGTTTATACAAGATAGAGAAATATTCAAAAGTTTAAGTTAATAAAAATTACATGAGTACTTGAAAAAAATATCAATCACTTCGTGAACTCGGTTCACAAAGAATTCACTTTGCCAAAAAAATTCTCGATCATATATACATGAAAACATTGGAATAATCCCAAAAATACGCATGCAAAAGTAAACGTGAATATCTATGCGAATTCGAGCACCGGAGCTTCCTAAACCTGATAGAACAGATATAACTCGTAATTTCAACATCGCAACCATGATGTAGCCCGTGATGGATCGTAATCGAGCTGTGATCGCAGTGTGATCAATATAAATACATAGGAAAATCTTTATTTTGATCAGTCACAATCGATACGTGATTATTACATGAATAGAAATGTGATTGAAATCTTTATTATATATAATACTTTTTGGGAACTACATGATATTTTTGTAAATAAATCACCACTATAAAAACGTTATTTATTATACTGTGCAGTTAATCCTTCCTTTGAGCGCTTTACATCTTTTAACACATGATACATGAATATAGTACGAGATAAATATTAGACTCTTATTAAATTACCAGAGGCAGAGTGGCTAAATGTAAAGATTATACATACCTATATGCGTTCGCCTATGATTCTTTAATTTCGTTACATTATCTCCAGAACCTAGCGTCGAAGGAAGATATTTTGGTGATGATTCATCCCCGTCACCATTATAACCCCAGTCCAACTCATAATTAGCAAAAAGAGAACCAAACATTCGCTTTTGTTTAATCACGGTGTTGTGTATATAAAATACAATATTATGACAAGCCCCCGTAATGACTGGAAGGTTTCCGTGGATTAAAAGGCATGAGCGAAAAGCCATCGCTTGTCCTTGCTTAGCATTAATGGCTAACTTTAGCTTGGGAAAAGTTAATTCTTCACCTTTGAATTTTTTAAACACAGAGTATTACAATGGTTCTTCAAATCCTGATGAAATTGATAAATTATGTTAAAATTAATGGCAATAGTAGGAAAAATTCCAAAGATTTCAAAACATTGATACTTACCTCACACAAACTTTATATTACATGAGATTTTGAGCTCTTTTACTTATAATTTTCTCCAACATATCATTAATTATTTTTTTGATTGCGTAGTTAACTGTCCGGAACTCTTATCACCAGAGATAGTAGAAGACATATAAGATCAATGTAAAATTTAAATGCCAGATCGTCTTGGGTGAACTGAGGGATTTTTGATATACTATTGCCTCTGACTCCATATTTCGTTATGACGAGAACGAACATTTCGGTGGGGTTTTGAGAGCCTTGGCCTCTTATTCGAATCTCATCACCAGTCCCGAAGCACCATCATTAAGGTTTATGCCCTGCTCATGAAAGAGTCTGATCAACGGTCACCCGGTTAACGGAAGTGGTAAGCACCAAAAAAAATGCGTGATATTGTTACTATTGGCTAAAATAATATGTTGTACATCATTTGGGCGAATGTAAAAAATTATAAATATAGCTTCACCCGGTTTGAATTGTGGAATTTTTAGTATCCTTTTTCTGCTTGCGAAGTGCACATACAGCCCAAGCCTTATGTGTTTATCATTATTGTTTATGAGATTGCTAACATCACACTAATCATACGGCAATTAAATTTATAAATACGCCAGATTACGTGCCGTGAACTGAAACATTTTTTTTATTTTAAACACTCTAACCATTTTTGGGACTTCGTAACTTATATATATAATGTTATCTGATACCAGAGAAATCATGGTATTTAAAATTCTACAAATAATATAACTTTATAAGTAATTTTTAATGTTTCCATGATTTTTTGCATCGTTTTAGGTGATGCCATTGGTAATTCTTTCCCGGTTGATATCAGCGAAGACATGACCGTTGGGCATCTCAAGCGTGTCGTTAAAAATATAAATGAGAATACTTTTAAAAATATCGACGACCGTGACCTCGTACTATGGAAGGTAAATATTCCTACTAAAGGTGAAAATCTGGTAACCAAAATATACGCCGAAAATATCGAAGAGCAATACCAAGGTGTAATGTTATCTCCATTCGAAACTGTTGGAGAGTATTTTCACGAATCCACTAGTAACATCCGAGTTATCGTACAACCACCTGTTACCACTGGTAAATGTCTTACCTCTCGAACAAGAAATTTGCGGTTATCTCATTCTTTTATTTCTTTTATTTGATTAGCAAAGAGAAAAGCGGAAGGGGACGAGGAAAGTGGGAACCAAAAGAAGGATAAACGAACATGTATGTAATATATTGCTTGCTACGTTGACTCGTAATCTTGTTTTGTTTTCTAAAATTCACTTTTTCTTTTTACGATTTATTTGATATCAAAGATCCTGATGAATCAGAAGAGGGTCGGGACAGTCTTATGGTTATATCACCTGAAAGGCTGAAGAAGATCGCTGATTTCGTGAAAAATAAGCATATTTGCCTTTTACGCAGTCCTCCATCATCAGGCAAGAGTACTCTTGGACAGGTGCTCCGAGATTATTTCGAAAGTCTCAATTATGATAGTGTATACATTAGTCTTGTTGGTATAAATGGTAAACAAGCAATCTACGACGAGGGGCTCTTCGAAAATTTCTGGGAGGAGAAAGTTGGTAGAACCTGGACAGAAATCAGTAAACGCAAAAAGGCTACTTACGTGTTCATCGATGAGATACAGATTATCTATGGTGATCGCGCTCCATTCTTTTGGAGTAGAGTGAAGGATCTTTTGTCAAGCGAATCAAATCTTCAAAATATTCGGTTAGTTTTGCTCGGCACATATCATCCAACACTTGATCCTCAAATGACACCCGTAGAAATTCATCATACTTTAGGTTTGAATGACCTACTTCTAGGATGGGAAGAGGTCCGTCGGCTTACAGAAAATTATGTTCAGTTACACGCAACTAAGGGTAGCGATCTCTTCAAAGTCCCTGAAATTATTCAGAGGGCAATCTTTGATCTCACTGGCGGACATCCTGGTTTATGTCGATTAATTTTGTCAACATTTCGCAATCGTTTTCGTAATTTTGACGAAGATACAACAGTAATGAATATGTTGCAGTACCTTGCTTCATCAGAATTACTAAATAGTATAACAGATTGTTCTCGTGCTTTTTACTGGATCCATGATTGGAAACCAAACGAAGAAGAAGCTGAATTTATTCGCAATATACTACTTTTCAGTCAAATAAAGGTTCCCTTTTCTGTTAATTATAATTCAGATCCTATTTCCAAGAGTTTTATTAAGGCAGGTGTCTTTGCCATGGTTGATGAAAAAATACAATTTACAGCACCCATCATGCGAATTATCCTGAGCCACCGTCTGTTCACCTCCCCTATAAGATCAAGATCTCCTGTAACATCCTTTGATGATTTTTTGTTGCGAACCATTGAACGCATGAGCCCATCTAAGTTGTTTAAATCACTTGGAAAAAGCGCCGAACCCAATTCACGTTTGTTTGAGAGGAGTTGGCAGATGGTGTGGTATCGTACAGCTACTAATGTAGTCCCAGTGGAAGCATCAATAAGTGCTGATGTTGGTCCTGTGTTTGGCTCAGCTGGTTTTTTAGATTTTTATGTCAACAAAAATTTTTGCTGGGGTATTGAGCTCACCCGCGAGGGTGATCGTTTAAAGGAGCATGCACAACGATTTGAAGGTGGTGATTATGCAGACATTCCATTGAAAGATTGGGCCATCATTGACTTCCGACATCGCACAAAACAAGTAAGTGAATTAAAGCGAAACTTCTGGTACGTGCTCTATGAGGATAACTATGAATATGTTACTATCAAACGTCGCGATCAAGGTGACAAAGTCCTTGCCTTACATGGTGATGAAGTGTAGGTTCGTAGTACTGGATGGCCATTTGTATTATACAGAAACTGTGTTTATTATAAATAAAAAATTTTATTGAGTTGATCGTACGAATATATAATAAAATGAATGGAGTAGCGAGTTTAAAGGGAGGAAGTACTCGAGCCCTAATCCATAAAAATGAGAGTTCCTTCCCGCTAGAAACTATGTTTTTGCTATTGATTCAAGAACTTATTTTATCTAAGTTGCTACTTTTTTTTATTATATCTCTACTATATTTTCCCACCCCAAGATTAAGAATATCAACGGCTACAATACCACACATATCATCCCGCCTTCTCGCATATACTGTATGCTCGAAGCCAGAGAAAAAGTTAACAACCACATAGCCTTCATTTAGTGTTAATGGATCACAACATATTGTTATCTTTTTCCGAACATGAGAGGAAAAAGGATTACTGAAGTAATATCTGAAAATGATCGTTGACTCGAACCAGAAGAAACTTCGGATTGATTTGCATCACTTTGTTGGTCATGAGGATGGGTCATTATCTCGAAATTCAATAGGCTCGATCCTTATTTCGGGAGAAATGACACTTCGTGCCTAGATAATGGCATAGCGTCGTTTTGGAACGTTGAGATAGCTCCATTGATTGATTCGAATTCGGTTGTGACTCTACCAAAATTGTTATGGTAGTTTTGAAGAACTTGTTCGATCTCATCAAATCTCGCAGTAGAAGTATTTAACATTATCAAGATTCTTTGGACCTCCGCTGTAAAGTTTTCATCGCGTGAGGTAAGTTCAGCGTTAAATTTGTCATGGTAATCGGTGAGTTTGGTTAAGAACCTGGTCACCTACTATTACTATTATTAATAATAATATTACACATTTAAACTAGAATCCGTACCTGAAGAAGATTAGAGTATGAGTCAATCTCAAAAGCCTTCAACTATATTTTTACAACAACTGTTAACTAAGACTATAAAAGAAAACAAGAATCTAGAAAAAAAGAATGAAAAAGTAGTAGATGCAGTTCATTATGAAGAAAAGATAGAAGACTAACTTACAAGAATAATAATTGATAATGGATCAGTTAGCAATGTCATGTTAGCCAAATTCTTGAAGCAAATAAATAGAAAGATTGATAGATCATCAAATATCAGTCTCATTGAAATAAATGGAAAGCCAGAATGATTACTAGAAAAAGTAAAAGAATTAAGAGTAAAAATTGAAGATCTTAACTAATAAATAGATGTTCTGATCATGAAAAAAGCAGAATATGATCTATTACTTGGTAACTAATGGGCAAAACAATTTAAAACTATTCTAAATTGGGATAATAAACTTTTAAGCTTTAAGATAAAGGGAGAGTTTATAATCATTCCAGTCATAGAGATTAAACATGAAGTTGATTGATCTCAAGAGAGAACTCAAAGATCTTATTTTTGAGAATGAAGATGATAAGTTTAAATATGAGAAAGAAGAATTAATTGACCAGTTCTTGTATATAATACATAAAGAATAAAGTGAGTAACTTGTGCTGAAAGTGGAAGTTCAAGAAAACTTTATAAAAATTAATGATAAAGTTATTGAACAGGAAGAAAAAGAAAGGATTTGACAAGAAAGATTAGAAAACTATAATACTTGCATTCATGATAGAGGAGAGTATGAATGTTCTCAATGCAAGACAAAATAAAATATATACAAATAATTAGAGATATTATCTCAACTATTCTTGAATGTCACTTCAACTATAATTGAGTCAGATTTGGATCCAGAATAACCATATCAAATTCTGAATTCATATCAAGATCTTTTTAATACAATTCAATCTGGCAGAATAAACATACTTTAACATGAAATATATTTGAAAAAAGAAAGATCCATTATTCTTCAGCTATATTATTAAAAATTATTTATAAAAAATATCTTTCTGAAAGAAAAAATTCAAAAGATGTTGGATAATAAAATAATTTCTCTTTCTGATAGTCCTTGATCAGCACCAATAGTAATAATAAGAAAAAAAGAATGGAAAATTCCAGCTGTGTATGAATTACAGAAAATTAAATAAAGTTATCAAGAAGGATCAATATCTCTTGTCACAGATTAATAAACTATTAAACTCTTTTAAAAATATCAAATATTTTATTATCATAAATCTTACTAGTAAATTTTGGCAAGTAGAAATATATCCAAGAAACTAGAAGAAAATAGCATTCATTACTAATAAAGACTTATTTCACTTTAATATAATGCTATTTGAACTTACAAATATTCTAATCATCTCTCAAAGACTTATAAATAAAATCTTTAAAAAGTATATTAGAAAATTCATAGTTATATACTTGAATAATGTAATTATATATTCTAAAACTTGTGAAGAATACATAATCTATATATAAAAAGCTCTAGAAAAATTTTAATAGATAATATTTCAAATTATATTCTGAAAGATAAATTTTATCATGAATATAGTTTATAATAAGTTTTGAGAGTGAAGACTGAATTATTTATAAAGGTAAAGGAGATTATTATTATTCTAAAGATTTTCTAGTGCTAATACTTATGAGTATTATATCAATACAAGGTAAAAATAAAGTAAAATAAAAATATAAAAATAAAGTTGTGATTATGAATATTAAATTAAGAGGGTAGTATCAAAAACTAAGCAATAAATACTTAAAATCAAGGTAACAAATGCCAAAATGCAATAAATACAAATATAAATAGCAACAAATATTAAACTAAGCTTTTATACATAGAAAAACTTCAAGAATCTTCTAAATTAAATAAAATATACTTGGCTTATTTTAAGTGGAGGACATTCACTACCTAAGTTTTTTAGGCAAGAAAAACTTGTAAATAACCAGAATATAATCTATTATGATAAAAAAGATAAATGAAAGCAAATTATCAAGATAAAGATCAAAAGAGAAAATTATAAGATAAGTATAATTCAAGTATTTTCAAAAGATAATTAAATTATTGCTATTCAAGTACATTTATTTCAGATCTTAGAACAGAGATATTTATATATCTTTGAGGTTTTACAAATTTCTATCTAAACTCATTTGCTACTCTAGATTATAATTATAATCTTTGGAGCAAAGAATCAATAAACAAATAAATAAAATTAAGAGATAAGATACATGTGATAAGTTAAATGATAATATAAATAATAAAATAAAATGAAAAGATAAGATATATGTTCTAAAAAGAAAAGATAAAAGATAAAAATAAATGAAATTCATTGATGAATCATTTTTAAAGTATTTCTAAATCATTATTGAACTGTTTGTAAACTGTTATTGATTTCAGAGCTAATTATTTATTGATAATCTTAGGATATTGCAAAAATATTGTAAGAATATTGCAAAAATATTATTGAATCATGACTGAATCCATAATTGATATATCAATTATATTATTTGAAATCACATGTATTCTCAAGATCATTTAATTGATCAAATCTTTCAGATTTGAAAAATTATGAAATTAAAGAAATTTATATTGTAACCAATTAGCTTATTCGTGTGGCACAGTAGACGTGGCGCAGCATATGGCGCAGCCGCAGCACGTGG